GCCCTGAACGTAATGGGGTGGTCTGGGGAGGGGGTCAGCAATAAGGACACCCCCCCCCCAGGCTCAGCCCAGCTCCTTACTGGTTTGTGCCTGGTGTAGGTGGTCCCCGTCGGGGCTGAGGGTGATGCTGCACCCCCCGGGTGGGGGCACACCGGCACCCATCGCTTGCTGCCTCCAGCTGGGATCTCCCTGCACGTCCTCCAGTCCCCCCCTAAATAACACCACGGAGGAGGCTGGGTGCCCCCCCGCCAATAACGGGGGGGGGGCTCCGAAGCCTCCCTAGATGGACTCTCAACATCAGCCAAGGGGATGAGGCTTTGCCAGCCTTGCCCGGCCGTGGGGTGACACATGGACCGATGCCCTTCCCGTGAGGACACCATGCAGGGGAAGAGCCACGAGAGCGCCCCATGCTCGGGTAAGGGACCTTCTGCTCCCCAAATTTCGATAGCTCCCCCCTCCCTGCCACATTTTTCCACGGCTCCTCTGCCTGCGCTGCCCCCAGGCCCCCAACACACGTCTCCTTTAAGAGTATCTGGACCAAGAAGCCATCGACAAGAACATCCAGGGACAAACCCGCCCCACGCTGTGATAAGGGAGGTGGCGATAAGGGCAGACCTCGTTACTGGCGCTAACGGGCAAGGCTGTGCGGAGCGTGAGGAGGAGGATAAGGAAAGGGAGGGAGACAAGCAGGCAGAGGCATAAAACCTGCCCAATTAGCGTTAACGAAGAGGCTAAGCAGAAACAAACCTCGCCGGTCAGGCTAACGGGTGGGCTTCTACCACCAGTAGGCCTTGGAAGTTCTACCAAGAGCTTTGCGGCGGATAAGGATGCAGCGCTGGAGGGGGGGCTGCGTGTACGGAGGAGGTGATGAGCAGGGGAAGGGGGACAGGGAGGAGAAAAGGGGGGGGGCAGGCAAAAAAAGGGTGTAAAAGGGGCTGGTGGTGTAGTACAAGGGGGTCAGTCTACGCGTTGGCCATCGTGGGTTGATCTTGTCTTCATTTTTCAATCTTGTCTTTAACTATCGCTGGACCCGGCGCTAGCTACTGGGGGGACTGGTGTAAATGATTTGGGGTCGCCTACAAGAGTCAGCCTGGGGGTGTCGGCACCCCTGGTCTGTTGGTGTCAGCTACCCGGGCGAGCTACTGGCGTGGACGGAGGTCTTGCTGGAAGGGCTCCAGCAGCTGGGCAGCACCATACTGGGTGGTACTGGGCTGGGCTGGAGCTGCTGGAGGAGGTGGCCGCTCTTAATGTCCCTTAAGACATATCAACTGACCCCACTTTGGTCTCCCAACAGGTGATGGGACAGATGGTGAGATGAAGAAGGAGTCCCAGCCTGTGGAAGAGGACAGGGTGACACTGGAAGGACCCAGAGAGGAGCCCCAGAACCCCAAGGTAGACGTGGCCCATGATATTCAACATCAGCCAGATGATAAGGAAGGTAGCCAAGTACCAAGAAGACCCCGAAAATGCTCTTTCAAAGGGACATATGCTGAAGACCTCCAAGAAGATGCCACCCAACCAAGGGGTAGCTCCAGAGGGAAGGTATACAAGTGCATGGACTGCAAGAAGATCTTCACCTGGGGAAGCAGCCTGACCCGGCACCGACGGATCCACACGGGAGAGAAGCCCTTCAAGTGCCTGGATTGCGGGAAGAGCTTCACGCAGAGCGTGGTCCTCCTGCGTCACTGGAGGACACACACCAAGGAAAAGCCCTTTCTCTGCACCACGTGCGGGAAACGCTTCTCCTGGCGCTCGGACCTCATCACCCACCAACGTATCCACACGGGAGAGAGACCGTACGCTTGCTCGCACTGCGAGAAGACCTTCCGGAAGAGGTCTCACCTCATGAGGCACCAGCAAGTCCTCCATGATGGTGAGTCCTTGGGCGAGGTGATTAGCGTGAGATGTCCCATGGTGTGGTGGAGCCGTGGGGCGGGGACAGCCTGGAGAAGCACGTGGTGGGGGTGTGTTGGGATTCCTGCTCCTAATGTGGCAGCAGTGATGAGGTGCGAGATGTCCCCGGGGATGGATTTGCTTTGTCCCCAGGTTGGGTTGAACTTTTGGTGGGGATAGGACTGGTCTGAGCAGGAGGTTGGATTGGAGACCTCCAACTAATGGAGCTGCACTGGAAGGGACTCATCCACACGAGGTGGGGTTCATGGATCAGTCCTGGTGATAGCAAATGGTCTCTGAGAACATTTCCCAGGTTCATTTGTAGCCATGGAGGCCTCTCTTCACCCATCCTCCACCACTGCAACCCCCCTCCTGGGTCTTCCCAACTTGCATTACCCCAACAGATACTTGGGTTTCTCCTCCATCCTTGCTTGTGGAGGTCCTGTCCCCTCGTCTGCTCTGCTCACCCAAGTTCATGCGATGGCTTTGTCTTTCTCGAGCAGGCACTGAGAGCGCCCCGATGGAGCTGGGGCAACCACCCCAGCTGCTGGAGGAAAAGTTGGAGAGCAAGAAGAAGCAGACGCCCATAAGACAAGGGGGTGGCGTGAAGGACGCCCACACAGCCACGAGCAAGCCGGTGGCCCGTGCCAAGCAGAAGACCCACAAATGCCCAGAGTGTGGGAAGACCTTCTGTTGGCGAAACAGCCTGAGGCGCCACCAAAGAAATCACACGGGAGAACGACCCTACAAGTGCCCGGATTGCGGGAAGACCTTCAACGACTTCTCTAACCTCGTCTCCCACCACAGGATCCATAAGGGAGAGAGACCGTACGAGTGCCCCGAGTGCGGGGAGTGCTTCACCCAGAACTCCAGCCTTTCCAGGCACCGGAGGACCCACACCGGAGAAAAACCTTTTTCCTGCTCCGATTGCGGGAAATCCTTTACGCAGAAGCAAAAGCTCATCCTGCACCAGCGGATCCACACCGGGGAGACGCCATACAGCTGCCAGCAGTGCCGGAAAACCTTTCGGAGCAGCTCCCACCTCGCCACGCACCAGCAGATCCACGGGCAGGAGGGCTCCCACGCATGCCTGGTCTGCGGGAAGTCATTCAGCGTGGGCGCCGAGTGTCTTCTCCATCAGAGGACCCACTTGGAGGAGGTGCCGGTGGGCCGGGGAGCTTTGCCAGGGGGTGACGCGCCACGAAATTAGGGGGGCGTTACCTCCTTAGATAGGGACTTCCACCCCGTTGGGCTCATCCCATGAACCTGGTGATCTTGGAGGATATTCAAGGGTGTCTGGGGATCCTAATGCCCCACCAAGGGTTTTTTTGGGGGGGTGAGGGGTTGTGTGAGCCCCTCTTTGCTTCTACACATGGGTGCCTGCACACAGAGGTAAAGAAGGAGGAGATTTACTAACGGGTGCCTTGGGCATGGACAACGTGGCTCTTCCTTCCCATGGGACCATCGCATCCAAGACCCCCAGCACCTCCATGGGGACTTGTGGGTCCAGGGAAAGGAGATGTTTAAGAACCACTGCCTTCCTGGCAAAACCAGGGTGCTCCCATGGGTCTGAAGGGATTTTAAAGTCTCGTTAGCCAGCAGGGTCGTTAAGAAGACCCAAGGTTGGACAAACTGACGGGCAGCGTTGGTACATTTTGGTGGGACACTGTTTGGCATCTCAGGTCTTGGTTCACAAGCTGTGGCCACTGTGAAGTATTTTATTCATCATTTGCTTCGTTAAAAGCAGGCATCATTAATTATTTACCCACTTACAAACCATCGAGATGAACTTCAGTGGTGGCGCTCACCAAGGTGATGAGGCTTCTGTGCTTCCCAGTGGGACACTGGAGCAGGATGGTGGAGGGATGAGCCGCTCTCACCAGCGGCGCGGGGACTATTTTACCCCGAGGAAGGAGACACTGCGGCTGGGGGAAGCTTTTGGCCAAAAGCCTCAGGAGGTTCAGAAGAGGCAAAAACCCAGCCAGGACCCTGCAATAAAGATGGCGCGTAGGGGATGGTCCCTCTGTCACCTAAGGGCACGAACACGGGTCAACGTGCCCGCGCATGCAGCTGACGGCGTGGATGCGCACCCTTCCAGGAAACAGCAGAAATGCCGCTTTTTTGGGGGCATTTCTATCAAATATGGCGGATTTTGCTCATCTTTCAGATTCACGCCCCGTCCCTTGAACAGCGGAGAGCTCTGGGGGATGCTCAGGAGAGCGGGAGGGGGGACACAACCAGGCAGATGGCCAGACCCAACCCAGGAGATCTTCCCAGCCGCACCGCGTCGTGCCCAGCAATGAAATGGAGAG